AGCCGCTCCCGGCCACCGCAGCCTCGACCTGCTGGGCTCCAGTGATCCTTCTGCCTCAGCCTTCCAAGTAGCTGGAACTACAGGTGTGCGCTACCACGCCTGGCTGATTTTTGATTTATTGTGGAGATGAGGTCTTGCTTGCCCAGGCGGGTCTTGAACCCTCAGGCTTAGGCAGTCCACTCACCTCAGCCTCCCAAAGGCACGGGGTTAAAGGCTGTGCCACCGAGCCCGGCTTTTTTTTCTTTTTGAGTTGGATTCTTACTCTGTTGCCCAGATTGGAGTGCAGTGGCCGTTCCTGGCCACCACAGCCTCGACCTGCTAGGCTCTGGCGATCCTTCTGTCTCAGCCTTCCGAGTAACTGGAACTACAGGTGCACTACCACACCCGACTAATTTTTTGATTTATTGTAGAGATGAGGTCTCACCAAGTTGCCCAGGCGGGTCTTGAACCCGCGGGCTCAGGCAATCCACTCACCTCACCTCCCAAGGCGCAGGATTACAGGCTGAGCCACTGAGCCTGGCTGAGGTCCCTTTCAATTGGCTTAAGCTGGGGAGCATCTTCTACTCCCCTCTAAGAGTAGGAGAAACCCAGCATTCCATACTTCTCTCACAGGCCTTCCCTTCCCTATACTCCTCTCTATGACACTTGCCTGGTGGTGGGAGCTGGGCTGAGGGAGGCAGAGCCTGAGAGGACAAAAATAGACTTAGGAGCTATTGAGAGACCCAAGAAACCAAGAAACTTAAAAAACAATACTTGCTGTAAAAGTAGTGTTTAGTTCACTATATTTCATATATCCCTACCTCATGTTTACTATATATTTTGTGTATTCCTACCTCATGTATTTTATGAAATCTTAGTACTTTAAATTCTACCTCAAATGAAATCTTAGTACTTTAAATCCTACCTCAGACCCCGTAGAATTAGGCATATATCGGGTGCCGGGTCGTGACCAATTGTATAATGGTGTAAGTAGTGTTTATATTTAGAACTCTTGGGTTAAGCATTGTCAGCCCCAAATTAGTGGGCTAACTTCTGCTTTTACAACGGAACGTAAATGATAAAGCGATAAGCCCATTTCAGACATTCCTACAAGGTGGCAGCAGACTCAGAGGCGCCAGCTGCTCTCTATCACCGGTTTTTATCCCAGTGATAATTTACACGCAGTGGCTATGTAAACCTGAAGGGAACAAAGACTTGTATAAAAGAAACCGCCTTGCTATAATACGCTTGTGATATTTTATAAATTCCCAGAATTAGTATATGAATTTCTACCCCACATTCACTGTATGTGTTTGCAGCATTCATATTTAAAACTTTGTTAAGTTTGGCTTTTATTGTCCCATAATGACCATGTTATGTTATGTAAATGTTAAGCAAACAAGCTTTCCTAAGCATACCTTGGGATGGAAACCTAAAGGGCTAATGTAACCCTTTGCCTGCCGGCTCAGGTTACTTCATATGCAGGGACTGTATGGACCTAAATTATCTAAGATTCCACTCTGCCTGTTAAGTGGGTTTCTGTCAATCACGGGCAGCACCCACCAATACCAAGTGTTCCCGTCCCCATTAGGAGAAATTACCCAATCATGAAAACTCAAGTTTAAAGTTCTTTCCCCTCCCTCTGTAATTGTGCATAAAAACTGCTTGCCATTGTGGATTGGGGCTCTGGTCCATGAAGCCTCTACGGGCTTCATGCATGAGCCCAGACTCGAGCCTGAATAAAGACCCTCGTGTATTTGCATCAGAGCTGGCTCTTTGTGGTCTCTATCTCTCTCATTAGAGTCCCGGGTTCAACAAGCCATCTCCTTGCAAGTCCTGTGTAGATGAGAAGGCTCCTGGTAGTACAATACATAGCTGTGTGTATGTATGCCCACATGTGTGGGCACCTGCGATTCTTGATGTAGAGGCCTCCAAGAGCCCAGAAACATACTGCTTCATACTGTGTTATTAAGTCTTCCCCCCAGCAGTCAGATGAGGCCAGTGTAGCCCCTCCCCAATGTTTATTGATGGATGCCTCTTCAGTCTGGCTTCCCTATGGGACTGTGATGATTTTTCCCCCAGAAAGGAGCCTCATCTTGTGGGTGGGAAGGACACTGGATTGCTTCTCTGGGATGATTCAGGACAGGACTTTTGCCCTTATAACATCCCTGCTCTTGTGTCCTCAGGTTCCCAGCTCTGTCTGCAGCAGGAGCTGTGCTCCAGGATTCAGCCAGATCCCCCAAATGGGATTCCCTCACTGTTGTTTTGAGTGCAGCCCCTGCCCTGAGGGACAGTTTGCAGACCAAATAGGTGAGGGCTCATGGTGGCTGAATCCTGAGGGACCATTAAGGCACCTCCAGCCTCTCAAATTCCCAGTCCAGTGAGTTGTTCCACAATCTCCAGGCTTCTGTAGACTTTGGACATGGAGTGCTGGCCAGGAAGCCACTCTTAGAATTGTTTTCAGGTAAATGTTTTACTGAATTATGCAAGTGTATTCATCATTAAGTGTATAGTCCAATGAATTCTCACCTAGCAAACATTCCATGACCCTGATCTCCTTTGTCAAGAATCAGAGCATAAGCTGGGTCCCGTGGTTCAGCCTGTATTCCCGTACCTTTAGGAGGCTGAGGTGAGTGAATTGCCTGAGCCCGTGGGTTCGAGACCCGCCTGGGCAGCGAGACCTCATCTCTACAATAAATCAAAAACATTAACCGGGCATGGTAGTACACGCCTGTAGTTCCAGCTACTTGGAAGGGTGAGGCGGAAGGATCGCCGGAGCCCAGCAGGTCGAGGCTGTGGTGGCTGGGAGCGGCCACTGCACTCCAGTCTGGGAGACAGAGTGAGACTCCAACTCAAAAAAAAAAAAAAAAATAGAATCAGAGCATGACTTGCCCCCAGAAGTCCCTTGTGGCCCCCTTGTCATTGTTCCCTTCCCCAATAGTTACCCTCCTGACTTCTATTAGCATCAATGGGTTGTGCTTGTTTTGGGGGGGGGGTTTGAAGCAGAGTTTCACTCTGTCGCTCAGACTGGAGAGCAGTGGCACGCTCATGGCCACCTCAGCATCGACCTGCTGGGCTCAGGCAATCCTTCCGCCTCAGCCTTCCAAGTAGCCGGAACTACATGCATGCACTACCACGCCCAGTTAATTTTTTGTTTATGGTAGAGACGAGGTCTCACCAAGTTGCCCAGGCTGTTCTAGAACCCATGTGTTTAGGCAGTCCACTCACCTTGGCCTCCCAAAGTGCTGGGATTACAGGCTGAGCCACTGAGTCCAGAAAGGTTTTGCTTTTATTTAAGAAATCTGCTATAAGTGAACTCACAAGTGAGTGTTCTTTGAAGTCTCAATTTTTCCTCTGTGTTGTGAGATTCATCCTAGTGGTTGTGTGCAGTTGAATCTCTCTTGTTCCCATGTCTGGTAGGATCCAACTGTGTGAACAAGCCATGACTTCTTCCATTCCAAAAAGCATAAGAGATTTGAGAAGTCCTAATCAGAGGCTGTAATGAGCAGTGCTGCTGTGTCTTCTGGGGACATATGGACAAATTTATGTTGGTTGTGGCATTGCTAGGCCAGAGGAAGTCATACATGGAACTTTAATAGATATTGGTGGTTTTTCCAGGTCATACTCCCACAGTGAGCATAAGCAATACCCAATTGCTCCCTGTGTCTATTTCCTATTGCTGTTGCAACAAATTACCACAAGTGCATTAGCTTAAAACAACACACATGTATTTTCTCAGTTTCTTTTTTTTTTTGAGTTTGAGTCTCACTCTGTCACCCAGACTGGAGTTCAGTGGCCACTCCTGGCCACTGCAACCTCGAGCTGCTGGGCTCCAGCAATCCTTCTGCCTCGGCCTTCCAAGTAGCTGGAACTACAGATGCGTGCTACCACGCCTGGCTAATTTTTGATTTATTGTAGAGATGAGGTCTCGCCAAGTTACCCAGGCTGGTCTTGAACTCGCGGGCTCAAGCAATCCATATCTCAGTTTCTATAGTCCAAAGTCCAGATGCTGCATGCTTATCTGGGTCGACTGCTTGGCATCTCACAAAGCTGAAAATCAGGTGTTGGGAAGACTGCCTCCCTTACTGGAAGCTCTGAGGAAGAATCTGCTTCCAAGATCATCCGGGTTGTTGGTAGAATTCAGTTCCCTGTGGTTGTAGGACTGAGAACCCCATATCCTTGAGGGTTGTCGTTGGGGGTCATTCTCAGCTTCTAGAAGCTACTCTCATTTCTTGCTACCTCCATCTTCGGAGACAGTGGTAGTGAATACTGTCCCTCTCCTGCCTGCTTCAAATATCCTTTCTCTGCTTTCCTCTTCTTCCTTCCTTTCCCACTATCAAGGGCTCATGTGTTAACTCTGGACTCATCTAGATAATCCAGGATCACCTCCCCATCTCAAGATCCTTAACTTAGTCACACCTTTGTTTTTGAGGCACCATAGTCACAGGTTCCACAGATTAGAGGGTGGGCATCTTTGGGGAAGGGACATTATTCTGCATACCACAGTGCTCATCCTCACCAGATGGTGGGTCATTGGGTCTTTTTCTTTACACATTCTGGTGGGGCTGTGTTGCTATCTCATTGGGGTTCAGAGCAATAATTTGAATTAATCCCTAAAGGATGGGTGGCAGAATGAGTGAGTTTCTGTCTTCATTTGTTAGGGTTGTCATAGCAAAATACCGGAGTCTGGGTAGTTGAAGCAACAATGTACTTGCTCACTGGTCTGGAGATTAGAAGTTTGGGATCAAGGTGTTGGCAGGTTCAGTTTTTCTGAGGCTTCTCTCCTTGACTTGCAGATGGATGCCTTCTCACTGAGTCCTCACATGGTTGTCTCTGTGTACCTGTGACTAAATCTCCTCTTATAAAGACAGCAGTCATATTGGATTAGGGCTTACCCTAATGAGCTCATATAACCTCATCTCCAATTTCCCTTTTTCCAAATAAAGTCACATTTTGAGGTACTGGGAGTTGGGACTTCAATGTATGAAACCTGGGGAAACACAACTCAGCCCGTAACAATTGCTAATACAGTTACTGCTACTACTAGGAAAAACTTAACCATTAAAGAACACACATAGAAGCATGCACACAGAATACACATTTTTCTTGTACCTCAGGCTGTCATATGGCTCATACCAGTACTGGTAATTCAGAATAATTCATCAACACACTAATAGATGTGAATCACTCATAAGAGTGGTCCGGTGCATAGGGATTACCCCTCCACATATCTGGTGTCATTACACTCATGTTTCAGACATGGAGTACTATGTGTTTTCCACAGACATGAAGACGTGTCTTCTGTGCCCAGAGGAGCAGTACTCAAGCCATGCCAGAGACCACTGCCTGCCCAGGACAGCTACCTTCCTGGCCTTTGACGAGCCCCTGGGACTCACCCTGGCCTTGGTGGCACTCATGCTGGCTGGACTGACGGTGCTGGTCTTTGGGATATTCCTGAAACACCGAGACACACCCGTGGTCAGGGCCAACAACAGAGCTCTCAGCTATACACTCCTCACCTCCCTGACCCTCTGCGCTCTCTGTCCCTTGCTCTTCCTTGGCCGTCCCACCATTGCCACTTGCCTCCTGCGCCAGACCACCTTTGCTGTTTTGTTCACTGTGGCTGTCTCCTCTGTCCTGGCCAAGACCCTCACTGTAGTCCTGGCCTTCAGGGTCACCAGACCAGGAGACAGAATCCGGGTGTGCCTGGGACCCAGCACCTCTGCCTCAGTGGTTCTCCTTGCCTCCTTGCTGCAGGTTGTTCTTTGTGGAGTCTGGCTGGGCACCTCCCCACCAGTCCCAGACAGGGATACGGCCTCAGAGCCCAGTCATGTTGTCATCCAGTGCCAGGAGGGCTCTGGGGTTGCTTTCTCCTGTGTGCTGGGCTACCTGGGCCTCTTGGTTGGGGACATCCTGACTGTGGCCTTCCTGGCCAGGGGTCTGCCTGATGCCTTCAATGAGACCAAGTTCCTCACTTTCAGCATGCTGCTCTTCTGCAGTGTTTGGACAACCTTTCTGCCACTGTATCACAGTGCCCGGGGCAAGTCCACTGTGGCTGTGGAGATCTTCTCTATCCTGGCCTCCACTGCAGGGCTGCTGGGTGGCATCTTCTTACCCAAGTGCTACATCATCCTCCTAAGACCAGAGCAGAATACCACAGACTGGTTAAGGCGAGGACGCCGGGCTCAGTGGGTAAGGCAGAGCACAGAGCTCTGGAGCACAAATCTCTGTAGGCCTGTGCCACAAAGCCTCAGCAGCCAATCTGTTTCTTCCAAGTTAAAAGAGACTTGAAAGGCAGATTAAGAGATTGACAAAGTACATATAGAAAAATGCTAATGACTCTTCTATCAAGATGGTGGACATACGGTCATTGATGTTCCTTTGTATGTATCGTTGAAAATGTTCACAATTTAACAAGTTTGAAAAAGGTTGATGAAGCAATGATGATAATAAGAAATGTTGGTAAGGATGGAGAAAAATTGAAATTATCATCCATTCTGGTGGGAATGGAAAATGGAAGAGTCTGGCAGTTGCACAAAAGGTTAAATGTAGAGTTACCATGAGACATAGAAATTCCATTCCTAGACATATATCCTAGAGAAATGAAAACATGTACATGAAAAAACTGTGCACAAATATTCAGAGCAGCATTATTTATGATAGCCAAAAAGTGGAAACAATTCAAATGTCCATCAACTGATGAATGAATTTAAAAAATGGCTTATCCATACAATGTAATGTCATTTGACAATAAAAAGGAATGAAGTACTGAAACATGCTACAACATGGATGAACCTTGAAAACATGTTGACAGCCGGGCTCAGTGGCTCAGCCTGTAATCCCATGCCTTGGGAGGTTGAGGTGAGTGGATTGCCTGAGCCTGCGGGTTCGCGACCTGCCTGGGCAACTTGGTGAGACCTCATCTCTACAATAAATAAAAAAATTAGCCGGACGTGGTAGTGCGCACCTGTAATTCCAGCTATTTGGAAGGCTGAGGCGGGAGGATCGCCGGAGCCCAGCAGGTCAAGGCTGCAGTGGCCAGGAGCGGCCACTGCACTTCAGTCTGGACGACAGAATGAGACTCCAACTCAAAAAAAATAAAGAAAGAAAGAAAAGAAAACATGCTGACTGAAAGAAGTCAGACACAAAAAAAGAACATATATTATAGGATCCCATTTATATGAAATATCCAGAATAGGCTGGGTGCAATGGCTCATGCTTATAATCCCAGCACTTTGGGAGGACAAGGAGGGAGGATTGCTTGAGCCTGGGTGTTTGAGACCAGCCTGGGCCACATAGTGAGACCTCGTCTCTACAAGAAAATTAATTAAAAAGTTTTTTCCAAAAAAGGAACTATCCAGAATAGGCAAATTCATATAGATTTGTGGATAGTGACTGCCTAGGGCTGGGGAAGAGGGGAATTGGGGGTTGGTGGATGATGGTCAGAAGGTACAGTATTTCTTTTTGGAGTGATTAAGTTCTAAAATTGATTTTGGCGATAGCTGCATAACTCTGTGAATACACTAAAAACCATAGAATTGTACACTTTAAATGGATAAATTGTATGATATATAAATTATATCTCAATAAGGCTGTTACCTAAGAAAGCTTAATCCATTACAAACTGTGGACCTCCAGCATATCCTTATTTTTTTATCAAAAGATCAAACTATTAAAAAATGAGATAATTACGAATCAGAACACTGAATAATCAATTATGTAAAGGAGTTGTTGCTTTTTTCGTTTCCTTAATAATGGGATGCTGGTTAAGTTAGATACAGTTCTTATCTTTTGGAATTCCATATAATTTACAGGGTCTGAGATTTGCAAGACTGAGAGATTGATTGGTCAGGAGCCCGTGCCATGGGGGCCTCTGGTCATGGCAGTTCCGCTTCCCGCCTTGCACCGGTACTGCTGAGAGGGCGAGCTGGGCCGGGACCCGCGGGCGTGCGGCGGGCTTGCCAGGGCGGGGTGGCTCCGGCTGAAGCGCCCCTGCCCTGGGTCTTGCTCCTGGTCTGTGAGGCCCGGCCCGGCCTAGCCCCCCAGAGCCTTTTGCTGCAGGCCGGACGTACCTCCGGGGCTGGGGTGGAGAGTCCAACCCTGGGGGGCCATGGGGGCACGGGCGCCGTGTGGCCTGAGCCTGGACTGGCATCTAGTTGCCTCCCGCTCGAGCCTCGCCCAGCTCCGACTTCGGAGTTGGCAGAGTAGCTGGCCGTGGGGGCCCTGGCAGCCCTCCCACTGGTGAGTGGCTGAGTCCCGTCCTCCCAGCCTTCTGTGCCTGGACCCACCGGGCCCACCTCACATCCACCATGCTGAGGACGACTCTCGGATCTCGTCGGCTCCTGCCCTGGCTCGTCGCTTCCTCTCAGCATGTTGCTCTGCCAATGAGGGAAGCTGAGGACTGAGTGGATCTTCGTGGTCACAGAGCCCCGGAAGGTGTCCCTGAAGTCCCATAGCCGTTAAAGATGTAGTCACAAAACCTCCCGTGAGAAAACTCCTGCCCCAGGTGGCTTCGGCCACCACACAATTTAGGAACAATTGAAAGTTATCAAGCTTTTCAGATCCACCGTATTTTTCCTTGAATTTTCATTCTTTGTGCTTGAAGTCTGTAGATCAATTTGAGAAGAATTGACATCTTCACATGATGAGCCTTCTACTCTGTGATCATGGTATATTTATTTAGGTACTGTAACGTTTGGAGATACTGAAAGAGGCACAGGACAAAGGGCTGGTATAAACCAAGCATTTATTGAGTGAGAAACTCCAGGGTGAGGTCCCAGGGTCCGGAAAGATGGGCCAGGGGAGTCGTGCCCAAGGAGGGGAAGGCTTGGGTTTTTAAGGGTGCTGTATTTGGGAGGGTGTTGGGGGCGACAGTGAAGTGGGGAGACAAAGCATCGCATCTGGCGTGGGCTGGAAAGTCTCTGTCTGGCCCTTCTCGGCAGCTGCCGGCAGGTTCCAGGAAGCTTCAAGTGAGGTATGCGGTTGTGGGTTTGGGGTGGAGGGGCACATAGGTGATTGGTGGGTGGAGGGGCAGATGGGGGAAGGTGAGTGCTGCTTCCCCCTGAGCCTAACATCCTGACCTCTTTGGTATAAGGGGTGTTGACTTGATCTGGCTGCTTCAAGCTGAAAGGGGGCGTAGTTTTAGGGGAGGCCGGAATGGAATGGCTTGGAGGGAAGTGGGGCATACAGATAGGGGTGCACGAGTAGCTGATTGACTGTGATGCAAGAAATTTCCTTCATGTGAGACTGCAAAAAAATTAAACAGATAGGGTGCAACCATAAGTAAAAGACAGATAAGTAGAACAGGTCCCAAGAATGGCATGACCCTTTGGGCGATACCCGAATTCCACCGAGTAGAGAAGGGCAATTCTGCGGTGTTTTTTTGGTGAAGTTCATCTCCCAGCTTTTGGAGGACATTGACATTTTCCTCCTCCAGCCCTGTTTCATTAATGTAGAAACAGCGTTCTTCCTGGAGAAACATGCAGGTTCCACCCTAGCTGGCTGTAAGGAGATCAAGGGCCCTGCGGTTCTGTAAAGCAACTCAGGCTAGAGAGGTTATTTGCTGCTACAGGGATGCCAGGGAACTTGCAGATGCTTCCAGAGCGGCTTGGAGCCTTTCTTCCAGATTTTGGGAAGAAAGAAGGCTGTGTCCCAGTGCTCCCCAACCCAGCCTTCCAGCCGCCAAGGACGTGGCAAATGTGAGACCAAGCATGAGGGGGAGAAATGCCGCACGGCGGGCACAGTGGGGAGTGGGAAAGGCTTTGAGTAAGAGTTTTTCTTCAGAATAGGACGTAAGCTGTGGCACAGGCATTACCAGATAGCAACAAGGGTAAGAATTATTGATAGATTTGAAGAGGGTGCCGTTACACCAAAAGAACCCACCCCTTGGAGCAGATAGAGTAGATGGCACAGGTCTGGAGATGTTGTATGTGCAGGAGCTGCCATAATAGGTATTAGAGAGGTTATTGAGGGGCTGGAACAAAGGAACTCCAGGGATAAGAGGAGGCTGGTTGACTGGCCCACTAGAGGCATTGAACAATTGTGTTAAAGGGGAGTGGTTTAGAACGGTGCAAAGGAAGCAGTTACTTACATTCCCAACCGAAGAGTGGTTGAGTAATGAGATACCTTCTTGTATTAAACGGAGCCAAGAGAACCGAGAAGGGCAGTCGGCACTCGGGGCAGGGTGGGGGGAGTTGGTTAGCCAAAGAAGTTTCTACTTCTGGAATAAGGGAAGTTTGTTAGGGGGAGGAAAAACAAGGCAGTATGTTTGGAAAATGCAGAGTTTTCCTGATGGTTTGGAGTTTAGCCAGAAGTTGTAAACAACTCCCTCGACTCCCTGTGCCCACCTGGGGTGCCAGGGATCAGAGATGGTGAAATGGGTTAGTTTTCCCAGGTGGGTGAGAGGGTAGACCTTGTGCATTCTGCACCAATTATATGCACAACCCCCATATGTCTGAGGCCACCGGTTACATTTGGCATTAGTTTGGTAATATTGGAAACAGAAGACTGGGGTTGGGGTTGCATCCAGGCTGATGGAGTTCATGCTGCCTATTGAGATGTTGATGGTGACTGGTGCCTGGCACCCCTGGGGCTGGCACAGTCCGATGCCCACAACCTGAATAATGACTTTACCATAAGACTGGGCTGTTTTTTCAATGTAAAACTGCCAGCGGTAGCCATCATCTGGTGGTGTTGTGTGTGAGAGAGGCAGCAGGACTAGAGTGAGTAGCAGGACCCCAAGTGAGGTGAAGACGGGTAGGTCCCACCTGTTGACATTGCCAGGGGGCCTCTGTGGCTGGGGCCAATTTGAGACAGGAAACATGATACCAGGAAGAGGGTCCCAGTAATTTGGCAGCTGTGGGGGTAGTGAGGACCACCGTGAATGGGCCAACCCACCAGGGGGTTAGAGCTTGAGGGGACAGTTGTTTGAGTAGAACTGAATCCCCCGGTTGCAGGGCCGTACAAACTGGATTTGATGGGTTGTCAGGAGTGACCGTGGGAAGGGTTCGTTCTGTGTGCTCCCTTAGCAACTGCCTAAGCAGAGACAAGGAAGACAAGTAGGAAGCAGGTGGAGGTGGTGAGGAGGGTAGGTTGTGATTGATTAAAAAGGGCCTGCCATACCGCAGTTCAAAAGGGCTGAGACCCGATGGAGCCCTTGGAGCTGCCCTTATCCTGGAGAAGGTGAGTGGGAGGAGGGCAGGCCAGCCGAGTCTTACCTATAGGGTGAGCTTGGTGAGGTGTGTTTTTAAAATGCCGTTTTTGTCCTTTCTACCTTACCTGACAACTGTGGG